CCGGGGACAGAGCGCGCGGGCCCGCCCCAGCCCGCCGGGCTGCGCTTGGCGGGGCGGCCGGCGAGCGCGGTGGCGGTAGTCCCCTCCGCGTCCCCACACCACTCACACGCACTGACCAGGAGAGGAAGGAGAAAAAAAACCCCCAACAACAACAACAAAAAACTAAACTTGGTACAAGCGCCGCGTATGCAAAATGCAAAGTCCTTTTGTCTGTTTAACTAGGTGACTAGCAATCGCCTGCTGAGGGAGGGGGAGGGAGGAAGAAGGGACACCGCGAAATAAAAAGCCAGCAGCTTTGCTGAGTATCTGTTTCCAAGTACAAATGTAAAGGCAGGCACAAGAAGTAAAACCGGTTGAGCATATTCCCAAATTATCCCACCAATTCCAGGTTAGGAAGACTGGATGAGGAGATGGAGGGGAGGAGACATTAGCAGTATTTGCTTTGCATCATAATATGCTTCAGTCAACCTGTAACAACACGTAACAGAAAACAACACTGCAGGGTCTTTGCAAAACCGCCTCTTCTTGAAACACAGGTCTTACTTATTACCTTGTTTGACTGTAGTCCCCTCTTGCTTGATTATCATTAGTTTTATTAGCTTGTGCAATTTTAAGGTGAGCTATATGAAAGGCTGAGAAGGAAGCCAAGACTGAAACATAAAGAAATACTGACGTGCTGGACTATGCCCATTGGGATGACTTTCTAAACCTAGCAGTGGTACAGTGAGATAGGCAAATCCTGTTAAAGGACTAGTATACAAAGGTGATGGTTAGTTCTAGGAAGTATCTGCCAGGACAAAGAATTAGAAGACGTATTGCTTCTTGATCTGATTATGTAAGTGGAGGCTCTCAGAAAGAGTAAGTTACTTGCATAAAGCCTTTGAAATTGGCATTTTGATGAGTGGTCATAACCCACACTTCAGAACAGTGCCTATTCTAATATCTGTTTCAGCTAGCCACAGAAGGATTAACAATTCACATGTTTCAAGCTCAACCCTAAAAAATACAACAAATCAGCTAGTCTGATTTTTTTTTTTCTTCTTCCAAACTGGTGTTGCGCTAAATCCCTCAATGAGTTTGGTGAAATACTGCATTCTGCCCAAGGGTATTTGGACCTAATCAGACGTAACTTTACCACCCCACGGGAGTAAGTGGTGGGGTCTGTAGCATGCCCAAGAGCAGAGCTTAGAGTACAAGGTGGATTTGTGCGTTGGGAGAAAATGTAAACTTGGGTGAGAGACTAGAGGAGTTAATGTGTGGGGAAACCAGAGAACCAGAAAAGAGAAGGAATGAGGAAAGGAAAATAGAGAAAAGAATTTTTAAAAAAAGGGGGTGGGGAGAGGCAGAAGGAATAAGGCAGCACAGAAAGGAGAGAACAAATGGTCTACAGATAACAGGAGATCCCAACAAGCTATGCATTTGTTTTGCAGCAAAATTCACTGAGTTCCCCCGAAATGTCACGGCCACTGAAGGGCAGAATGTGGAGATGTCTTGTGCTTTCCAAAGTGGCTCCGCTTCGGTGTACCTTGAAATCCAGTGGTGGTTTCTGCGGGCAGCTGAGGACCAAGAGGCTGGAGCCGAGGTGACAGGCACTCAGGTACTAATGCTGTGCCATAGAGTCCCCTTTCCAAGTGACCAAACCATGTGGGAACACCACAGGAGAGGGGGGTGAAGAGAAAGGGAAGGAAAGAGAGAAAGGGAGGTGGGAGGCCCAGGAAGGAGACGTGGTTCTGGATCTCCCCAGGGACTTAATTTTGAACATGAAAGAGCAGCACTAGAACCTGCAGAGAAAACTGCTCACCTCAAGCGATGGCACCTTTGGTGCCTGTTACTCTCAGGATGACCTAGAGATAGCCACAAAACCACAAGAATTTCCAAAGTGGGATTTTTCCCTCTCATTTTCCCTTCAGAAAGCAGCTGGCTTGTGGGTGAAAAACTGCTCCTTGTGGGAATTTTTCTTTCTCCAGCAGCAAGATCTTATACGGGCACTCAGATTTACGGGTGGCACAATCAAGTTTGCACCTTGGAGGGGCGGGGGGGGGGGGGAAGAAAGGGGAGACCCAAACAAGCAAACGACCCACACAACAAGGCAGCTTCAACCTTCCAAACCGGGCAGAGGCAGCCACGTCCCACAACGCTGCCTTCCAGGGAGCCTCATCCCCCCTCACCTCTCTCCAGCCAGCTCGGCACAGGTCGGAGCGCTCAGCTACCCCGAAAAGACGGCAAAACGTTTGCTCCCTGCCTTGGCCGGAGCCCAACCCGGCTGGGAGGTTGGGGTGGGGGGAGGTCCCGTTGCACCCGAGGAAAAGGCCGGGCAATACCCCTCCGCCCGTG